CGGGGGCAGACCTCGACGTCGATGTCGTAGCAGGCGGTCTGCTTGGCGTCGTGCGGGGGCTCGACGGCGATGACGTGGTTGATGACGATGGGGTCGGGGGCGTGCAGCAGGGCCCCGAGGCGCGCGGGGACCTCGGCCAGCTTGACGCGCGCGCAGCCGAAGATCTGCTCGAGGTACTTGTCGCAGGCGATGTACTCGCGCTCGTGCGGGTCCTGCAGCCGGTGCGTCTTCACGTACTGCCAGAGCGCGTTCACGATGACGGGGCGCGCCTGCGTGTGCACGCCCAGCAGCCGCGCCAGCCGCTGGTCCAGCTTGAACTGGAGCGGCTGGTAGTCCAGCAGCAGCAGGATGGTGCAGCGCACGTTCTTGTAGCCGGGCCGTTTCACCTGCGGGAGCGGGGGGGCGTCAGTGGGGCGTCAGCGGGGCGGGGCGGTGGCGCGGAGGGCGGGGCGCGTACCTGGAAGCCATCAGTCTCCTGCGTGGTGAGGGTGCGGTGCCACTCCACCAGGTGGTTGTCGGGGCCGTACAGCTCCTTGTCCAGCTCGATTACGAGCGACTTGAAGAAGGAGGAGAACTTGCGCTTCACCTGCAACAGGACATTGGCGGTGTTGGCAAGCGGTGCAGCTGTGGTGGCAACCGGAGCAGAGGGTCACACACACCTTATTCGGGTCATTCTTGGAGTCGTCCAGCAAGCGGCCCTCCACCCGCAGCTCCCAGGACGCCACGGCGTTGTCGCCCTGCCCTGAAACAGAAAACAACACTTAATATTTATTTAAACTACAGCTACATCTGTATGCCCGCATATTATGTCCTATTAAAGTTTTAAACAAAATTAACAATAATAATAAATAGGTAAATAAATCAACAGTGTTAGTGCCCGCTTTAAAATCTTCGCACGAATTGTTCCGGCTCGCCCGGTGGAATACCACGACTACACAGAAGACAGGCCTCAAGTGGAAGCAATTCCCATTACAGTCTGATGAGTGTGCGTCCCGCAGGCCTAATTCAGTCCTCTTTCCCCTCCCATCCTGTCTTATAAGGAAAGGATGGGAAGTGGAAGTGGACTTTCCGGATGAGAGGATGCATGGAAAGGGAAAATATTTTCTTTCAGTGCATCACCTCCGTCGATTAAAGTTAGGCAACGCATATGCAGTTGCGTATCTCTATGGGCAACGGTCACTTTGCTATTTCAGCGATTTCAGGTGCTCGCTCATTTGCCACCTTATGATACAAAAAATAGATACATTTACTCCAGTACCAACTCGGGAGAGTCTGTGCAGGATTGTATGTATGGCAGAGCCGGGACACCAGTGTGGACTAGTGAGATATCATCACAGTACACACTCAGGCGAGTTTTTTCATAAAAATGATTTGTTACACACCTGGATAGAATGTGTTGGATATGAAGATGCGCAGCTTGCGCTTTTGCTTCATGGGCCGCTTGAGCGCCTCCTGGATGTCGAGCCGCTTGCGATGTATGGTGGCGTCCAGCTTGCGCTCGAAGGCCAGCAGGTCCATGTAGGCCTGCGACTCGGGCACCAGGTCCCGCACCTTCTGCGGCAGGATCTTGTCCGCCAGCCGCCGCTTGCGCTTGCCCGCGCCCGCGCCCGGCCCCGCGCCGTACCCCTCCCTGCACAGCCGCAACATTGTCCCACTCCACTCTGCCTCCTGCCTCATGCCACCTCTTCCTTTCCGGCATCGCTCACATGCTCATAACTATAAATGACGCTACTCATTTCTATAAACATAACATTATTAAGATTCGAATTTAGAACTGTTTTTTTATATGGTTAAATAAAGGATAGACGACAAAAGACGTCAAAGCACAGGTTTGCATACTGATTGTACATCTGCGGCTTGTGCTGCGGCGGCAGCGGCAGCGGCAGCGGCGAGCGCGTGTCCGGTGCGCGCTTGGCGGCGGGCGGC